AGGAGTCTGAGACCCTGACCCTGGCCGTACCCACCTGCCGTGGCCTCCTCACCCAGCCCGAGACTCTCCCCAGCCCCTGGTCACTCAGCTCTGGTCTAAGAAGGCAGGGGTGCTGGCTCCCCGTCCCTCAGCCCCGACTCAGCCATGGGGAGCACTGGCTGGGCTCGTCCCTCGCTCACTCCACCGAGCAGTGGCAGCTGTGGCCACAGCCTGAGCCTCCCATGCAGTGTCTACAGGAAGGCTGTGGTCCCGGCCCGCCTCTCTGCCTCTTCTGGACTCCACCCAAGGGGCAGAGCAAGGGCACAGGGCCTGACCCCTCACCCTGCCTCCACCCTCCTCGACCTCCCACACCCCATCTTCTAGCAGCGTCCCCCTTCCCTTCTCTGTCCTGGAAGGGTTTTCTTTACAACCTTCACCTTGTCCTCAGAGGACACAGTGCCTTCCTTGGCAGAAACGTCCCCAACTCCGTTCTGCCCCACCAGTTACAGCTCGAGATGTGAGTGTCCCCTGGGCTGCAGATCACACCCCTTCAGGTTGCTCCACCATCCTGCTCCAGGCGCTGCTCCAGGAGTCGCGCCCTCTGCTGGCCTGAGCAGTGAACAGCTTCCCTCCTCCTTCCACCTTGTCCCTCCCTTTCCCCAGGTGCTGGGAGGGAGAGAGCAAGCTTGACCTTGGAATCCGCTTTGCTCTCGAGATCCTCTTATGTTCTTCTCCTTTTTTTTTAAGAGAGAGAGAGATTTTTGCTATTGCATGTATGCACTCACCAGAGAAACAGAGAGAAAGACAGAAAGCAAGAAATCACACCCCAGGGGGAATGGCCACGCCATAATCCCCTCTCCTCCATTCTCCGCTCTGGAGTTTGGGCACGCACGCCCATGTGCCTGGTGCGATCTTAAGCCGCAGGGTTCAGGACGTGAACCGCAGTAGACTACGTGGGAGTCCAGCCACATGACCATTAGAACATCTGCTGGTCACTCCTTTTAGAGACTTAAATTACTGAGCACCTCCAACAGTGGCCACCATATCAGAAATTAAAACTAGGAGGTTACAGGTATTTATTCATTCACTGAGTTAAAATAACCCTAACCCTTACATGTTGACATAAATAGCACACAGAACCATTTCACAGTTACTGATGCAAAGCAACAATTTTAAAAAACAAAGCCCTGGCCAAGAAGAGGAGTGACTTCATTCTTTGCTCTGAAAGCCCCTTTAACGTTCAAGGTAATAAAGGAATTCCCATCTTGCTTCTGCTTTCGGTGTGCTGTAGCAGGTTGCTGGGCAGAGAAGTAGTTGAAGAAAATCTTGTCTCGTACAGGCATGCGGTTGGCAAAGGAAGATTATTTTAAAAGCCTTTTGAGGTGATTATGGACATTATATTTTGTTACGAGGTGGAAACCCAGCAATTGGCACCTCTTCACGGTGCATCGCGGTGTGGGCTCGGATGCCTTCCTTCTGCAGCGTTGAAGCCGGTTCCCAGCATGGCCCTTGGAACAGGGCAGATTTTCGCAACACTGTGCTTATCATTCTGACAGCCAGGGTTCTCCCAAGTGCGCAGACCTCCCAGAGGGTCCCAGGTGGTCACACACTTGTACACTTCATTATGCATAACTAGGGAGACCAGCAGGTGGCATGGTGGTTAAGGCGCTGGACACTCCCACATGGTCGACCATGGTTCGAGTCTTGGATCTGGTGGCTTGCTTTCTCGCTTCCCCTTTCTGTGTGTGTGTGTGTGTGTGTGTGTGTGTGTGTGTGTGTATGTGTGTGTGTGTGTGTGGTCAAATTAAAATAAATGAATGAATAAATAAAATTAAATAATTATTTTTAAAAAGAAAAATAAAGTCACTTCCACTGCTCCCTGGTGATCTCAGCAGAGACCCTGAGTGTTTGAAACTGACAAGCTTGTAGCAAAGATGAGTTTTCCAGAACTGTACTTTGTGCTTAAAAGCTTGAATTTTGTCACTGGCAATAAAGACGGTCACTTCTTGTCCTTGAAGTGACAGGCTCACTTTGTTCCTTTTTGAAAAAAATACCCGGTAAACACCAAGTCACAACCCTTGGTCTCCTCGTTCTTCAAGTGCAAATGGCATGTCATGGAAAAAGGTTGCAATTTAAACAGCTGCTGAAACGAAAATAAAAATTACGATCATAAATAATAATAATAAGATAAGCAGCCGCCCGATTCCGGCCGTCAGAACATGCGTCGTACTCAGCGTGCGGGTGCCACCTTGCCGCTTCATCACGCAGAGCACAGGGAAGGTGCGTGAGGTCAAAGCTGTCACTGCCTCACTGTTTCTTTCCTTCTGTGCTGCTGGTACAGACTGGGACCAGGGCCCTGAATCGGGGTAAAGGCTAGAAGCCCCCCCACTGCCATGGCACCTTGGTGCAGGTATCAAAAGAGAAGAGAAAGAAAAGGCAAATTTCTTTTTTTTTTTTTTTTTTTTTTTTTTTTTTGGGAGTTTTTT